AAAAAAGACATTAAAATGAATTACTAACATATAGAGTCACTGGGTGGCTATTTTAGGTAAAATGTTATAGATAATCATTTTTATGTGGCTTTAATAAACAAAAGATGACAACCTTGCAAAGACTGGCAATTAAACAAGGTAAAGGAAACTAGGAAGAGTAAATATATTAGAACAGGAGAAGGTATCAACTGGTTTTGCAACTAAAGTTTTCTTTAGGTTATAGTGTCATCCACACCTCTCATCAGTGCAAGCAGTCAACCGTGGGCTACTATCTTATGAGTAGCTCTGGACTAAGATTATAACCCACTCTAGAGTTGAAGTGGGAGTCTCCTCTGTGTTCTGTGATTACTATTAATGAATAAAGAAACTGCCTTGGCCTGTTGATAGGGCAGAATTTAGGTAGGCAGAGAAGACAGAACAAATGCTGGGAGTAAAAAGGGCGAGTCAGTGAGAAGCCATGTAGTCTTCCCAGAGATAGACTCCAGAACTTTATCTGATAAGCCACAGCCTCATGGTGATACACAGATTAATAGAAATGGGTTAAATTAAGATGAAGAGTTTGCTAATAAGATGTTAGAGCTAATGGGCCAAGCAGTGATTTAATAAATACAGTTTCTGTATGATGATTTCGAGAGTAAGTTACTAGGGCGGCTGGGACTAACAAGCAGCTCTCTCCCCTGCAACATAGAGGTAAAAAGTAATAAGAACTCACAAATCATTAATGCTACCTCTATTCTATGGCTGTATCAAATTCTAATTCTGAACAAATCACAAGAACACACTGTTTACCATAAGTAGATAAATTAAAAGAAAAAAGTGTAAGATTAATATCAAATTCAAATGGAAATCAAAATATAACAAAAGGAGCACAAACAAAGGTGTTCCATTGCTACAGACTGTGGAAAATGTGGGTATGAGTTCAGGAAATAGAAATTCCATTAGCTAAACCATGGGAAATACAAAGACAATAAAGTGAACTGTTAAGATGTATCATAGAAATGCCATTTAATACTTTGTAGGCTAATGTAATCAGAGTAGAACTTAACACTATCTGTCACCCAGAGCAGGGAAGGTTGTGTAACCAATAATGATTGCTCTAGAAGGGAGGTTCGGAACAGACACTGGGAACAAGAAAACCAGCTAGAGAATGACTGTGCTAATTTGGGTAAGAATTAATGATTGCTTGAGTTCAAGTAATAAAATACTTTGAAGCAATTTCTTTTCAAGATTGGGGATTTCTATAAGGTGAAAAGAGCCCCCAGGCACCTTAATACCTCCTCAACAGACATCTAATTAAGATACTTTTCTGTTCTACGATTCCATGAAATCAGAAACAAAAGACAATGGAGAAAACATCAAAAATACCTGAGGACTAATCAATAGCAAGGATGAGAAAGTATTAGTACTGGAAGATGACTACAAAGTTTCATGCCTAGTTGTCAGAGATGATTGGCTGTTACAGAAACTGAGCAACAAAAGAGATGGTAAAGTACAGAGAAGCAGGCTCCAAGGATGGATCATGAAACCGATTTGGTGTTTACTATTGGCATGATATATAACCCTGGACAAACCTCCATGTTTGCATGATGGAGGAAGGTCATTGGTTAAATAAAAAGAAACTGCTTGGCCCTGATTGGTTAGAAGATAGGTGGGAGGAGTAAACAGAACAGAAGGCTGGGAGGAAGAGGAAGTGAGCTCAGACTCCACAGCTCTCCTCTCGGGAGCAGACGCCTCAGAGAGGGACGCCATGCTCCGCTCTCCCAGGCAGACGCACGCGATGAAGCAAGCCGCCAGGTTAGACATGCTGAACCTTTCCAGGTAAAACTGGTGCTCACAGATTATTAGAGATGGGTTGATTGGGATGTGAGAATTAGCCTGTAAGGGGTAGAGCTAAAGGGCCAAGCAGTGTTTAAATGAATACAGTTTGTGTGTTGTTATTTCAGAGCATAAGCTAGCCATGTGGGCAGCTGGGGTGCTGGGGACGCAGCCCCGCCACCCATATTACTACATTTGCATTTACCATGTAGACTGCTCAGATAACAGTCAGAAGCAATGGCCTGAAATACATTTTACTATTAGACAATTTCGATACATTAGCATTGTATCACTAAATACCACATGATTTACACCTTTAATTTCAGAGAATTTTCTCAGACTATAATAAACTTGAATGCAGTTGCTTATCATCTTTTTCAAGCATGCTAGCTTTATTACTTATAGGTAAGAAAAAAAGAGTTATATATGTTCACCACAATATATTTGAAATTGTGTATGTCCCCTCTCACATTTCTGTAATATTGTATATGCGTGTGCATCTATAAAAAAGTGTGGAATTAAACTATTTTGTAGCCTGGTTATTCAATATTAGGCAAGTGTAGGCCCATATTTCATACAAAATATTTACAGCCAGTCTCTCTGGTCATGCTTAATTTCCAAGGCAGCTGCAATCCCGCCAAACATGCTAGCCACCTAACAAAGACTCAGAATGTATGGCTCCTTGACTTTTGTTATTATGTAGATCGCCTGGGGAGAGGTGTTGATTCCAAAGCTGGTGACTTAAGGTGCTGGTGTTTTCGGTAGTCCTGCGGTCCCCTGGAAAGAGAATATTAATGAGTATCCACCATGGTTTACCTGGGGGATAAAAGGTGTTTTGAATAATAAACGCGGGTAGATCTTCAGGAATGAATGAAGCCTGAGATGCCCTTCTGATATGGCTCTGTGAACTGTGTTTCATTATTTCTCGCGCCTCCGTACTGGTTGAATTAGGAAAAAATAGTTTCTATGTTGGGGCGCACGGACCCAGACAGGCAGGAAGTAGTTTTGCATACATCTTTGTGGTATCTGTAATGTAGATATAAGGATAGCCATATCTAACCTAACCATCTATTTATTATATACTTCAGTGTTCCTAAGCATTACACTAAACATATTGACAAAGTTTAAGTTATATTAATATATTCTTTCCTCCAGGAAAAATACCTAGTTTGACAGCTTTAAGACTTTTGAGACTGCCTATCTCAATCAAACAAATATAATAAAGTAAGAGATGTAAATTTTGGGGTTTATGAAACAGTATGGTCTATGAAGCATACAATGATAGCATACCAAAAATGCAGGTGCCTTTAAAACTATTGTTGAGTGATGATTATGTGAGGTGCTGACAAAATACCGCACAAACTTGCTCAAATATCACCGTAGGGTTTTCAGATCCTTCAGTGTGTTACAAAACAAAGAGAATATATGTGAGGCTCAATAAAACAACATACTCATACATATTGCAAAAGTGTACTCCTGAAAACATATCCATTACGTTTGAGTGGTTTGTAGTTTTGGCTGTATCCTGAACAAACACAGGCTTTTAATATTTTATAAAGGAATTCCTAACATGGAATACCATTTCATTATCAGAGTCCTATTGGGGGTCTGCAGTTGAACTGGATCAGTAAGGTAGTTCCAGTCACTCACTTCAAAAGAGTAAACAAGTCATGTTGAAAATGCACAGGAGGATTTTACTTAATTAATGTGAGAGAGGCAGGCTGAGGTCTTAGCCCCTCTGCAGACCTTCCAACAGGAGTTCCCAGATTAAATGGGGGAGGCACAGAGGTCGAGGCAGGGAGTATAAGAACGCAGCTCATCTATTTTGGACAACCTGTGTCTGATTGATCAGTATCTCAGGATTGCCAAGGTGGATCTGATCTCCATAAGAAAACCATTGTTGTTTGAGGTTGTAGTTTCCGTTCTCATCACAGACATCTTTCCATCAGACCTTTCCTGGAGTCTAAGATGACTGAGAGAGGAGATAGAGATACAAAATGAAGGTAGTGATATTAAGTCTTATCCTGATTCATGGACATTTGCTGGCCACTTTTAAATCTTTTCACAATTTTATTTTCTAATATCTTTATGCATTCTTCTCTCATACATTACTTCCCAACTGCAGTTTCCCCTCACCCCACTCCTTCCAGTTCCTAACTACCTTCCGTCTCCCCCAGATCCACTCCTTCCTTTTTTTATGTAGAACGGTTAAAGATATCTTTATTGAATTTTGTGGTTCTTTTTAGTTTTAGAAATCTACTTGACTTACATACTTCTTTGGCTTTGTCATTGGTGTCTTTTGTGACTTTCATAAGAAATTCATTTTCACACATAAACATTATTTGTACTCTGTAAAAACAGTTACAAATCATTATGCATTTAATCCTTTTTCTGATCTTTTATTGCTATGCTTACATATCTTTTTAGGGTAGCTATGTTCGTCCATACTTTCTTCCAGTTCTTTTCTTAGCTAAACAAAAGAACTGATCAAATAGAAATCATGGAAATGTTTGTTATCATGTAGACATTAAGCAAAACTTGATTTTTAAATGTGTTATTGCTATTGACCACTATTGCCAAGATCCCACATTTTTCAGGTAACAATTTATTTTTTAATGGTTCATATTTTTCATTTCTTTTTGTTTCACTGAGAACTTTTAGGACAAAATTGAAGATAGGACAGTGGTGGTGGCAGAATGCATTTCACATTATATCTCTTGGTGCACAGTGAATCCATTTGGACACAGGAGTTAGCATTTGTTGACGTGGTAAGCGATGTAAAATTTCCTGGTGAACCAAGTATCTGTATTCTTCACAGCTATGGAAAGGATGCATTATTTTCCACATTTCATAGACGGAGCAGCCGCCATCAGGAAACATATAATTTGTAGTCTCTGAACTACTGTAACCAAAACATCTCCCTGATCTCAAAATCCCTTTCTGTCACCAGAAGTGGTCTATAAGGCTCCAGAAGAAACCCAGCTGTGGCATCCATGGCCGCTGTTTCCTCCCCTCACTGCAGTCCTCCTCCGAGGCCCAGGCCGCGGCTGTGCCTTCCAGATCTTTCTCCAGGGGCCGATGGGATTCGGGGCTCACCCGGCGAGCTCCTGTGCAGACCAGGGCGGGCTGTCTCGGTCTCGGCCACCGCTGCAGGCTTCCCCGCCCTCTCCGGCGCAGGCGGCCCGCCCAGGGCACGGTCCTGACGGTCGAGGGGACAAGGTGGCCGCGCGAGCCGACGACACTCCGAGCCTCCGCCGCCGGGCCAGCCGCGAGCGAGCCGCAGCCATGCTCCGGGTGCTGGTGGTGGGCGCCGGGCTGACCGGAAGTCTGTGCGCCGCGCTGCTGAGGAAGGCCATAGCCGGCCCGCTGTACCTCGCGCTGTGGGACAGGGCTGGCGACGCAGGTGAGCGGAGGGAGGGCGGGAGCAGGAGGGCGGACCTGCTTCTCGGAGCCGTAGGCCCGCACCCCGCCGCTCGGCGGGGAAAAGCCCGGCCTTGGGCCGCGGTGGGAGCGCGCCACCGCCGTCACCGCGTCACGTGACCCGCGGCTGCCACAGCCGGAAGGCTGGGTGCGCGCGCGCGAGTGGAGGTCCCGGTTGGGCCCGAGAATGGCGGGTCTACAGACTCCCGCCTTTTCCTTGACCAAGACTTTGCAAATGGCTAGACTGAACGCCCTGACTGGAGCCTTCCTTAGTCACTCTGGCATTTCATCCATTTCGACCTAGTCATCCACTGTTTCGTCCGTTTCTTCAGGTTAACACAATATGTACTAGTAACACGGTAGGGCAGTAGTACAACATTCACAAGTCCTTTTTTTTTTATTATTCAAATAAAAAAAATTACAATGACCAAACATCCAGGACAATAAGCAACGATAAAAACTCCAGCTTAGATTAATAATGTTTTTAACGTATTTGGACAAGGACAATAAAGCCACCAAGCTAGCTAGGGTAAGTTGTACAATTTTGAAAAGGCTCATTCTATGCACTGACAATTGCTTATGAATTATTTTAAGGGGGAAGAATGATTACTGCCAAGAGTCCTCATAATCCCCGATGCACAGCTGACTTGGGAGCTCAGTACATCACCTGCACGCCTCATTATGCAAAAAAGCATCCAGAGTAAGTAAGTCACTCCTCTGGAGTCTTAGTAGATAGATGTATGATATAAAATAAATCATCCTTCCCAACGCGTTTTCAAACGTTGCCCCTTATGACAGTGAAATGTTCTTACGATCCTTGTGAAGACCGTATAACATTATATATGGAACAATAAAAAGGGCTCAATACATTTTAGAATTTCTAAGCACATTTAAAATGGAGCATATAATACTTTTCTATGTATTTTTCTTGACTTCACTTTTATGTAGAAAAATAGGACTTGAAATTGAAATTAGCCATAATGTCAGCAGAAGATTTACAGGTTCTTAGAGGAGTTTTGCTCTTCTCCTGAATTACGTTTGGTTTAACACACTTAACAGTGAGTTTATTGTATGAGGATTTATAGTGTGATTTGATTTTTTTAGATGACAAGACAGTGGTTTCATAGCTAATCACACTGTACATTTCCATATGGTTATTTCAGGTTTTATGAGGAGCTGTTAGCTCATGGGATTTTGGAGCCTCTGACCTCTCTTATTGAAGGAATGAAGGTGCAAGAAGGAGATAGCAACTTTGTGGCACCACAAGGAATTTCCTCAATTGTTAAGCACTACTTGAAAAAATCAGGTGGGACTTGATTTTCTCTACCTTTCAGGATGAAAGTTGTGCAGTCAATGTTAGTATCGTATAGACGATTATAAAAATAGTTAAGCTATTGTCTTCTCATTAAAATATGCCTTTCCTTCCTCCAAAGTAAACCTAGAATCAATTTGCAGGTCTTATTGAGCTGTATGGCAGTCTTTATTTACTACTAATCTGTTTATATTCATTTATATTCACTAATTTTTGAGTGTATAAGAACAGTTTTTCATTTCTCACCTTGACATGGCTATAGGATTGAATTCTAACAGGTTGTGTTACTCTTAAAAACCGGTCTCATCAGTAGTGAGTGAGAATGTTCTTCACATCTGAGTGTTAAGGAAATTTTAAATTTTTATTGGCATAGTATGTCCAAAACATCATATTTTTATAGTTTTGTTCTTTATTTCCTAAGTTATAAGGGAACTTATACACTTTTTGTTTTGTTGTTAACCAGCTCTTGGCATTTTTTTAGAATTTCTTATTCATAATTGGACCATATTCTATTAGAATTTTCAATTTTTCTTTATGCATTTTATGAATGCTGTGAAAACTGATATCTTATAAAAAGAGAAAATAAAGGTTTTCTTGGGTGATAAATTATTTTCCTATTATAGAGCAAGCTTTCTTGGAAATTTGTAATTTGGCTAAGTACCCCATTCAAGATTACTACGGAAAGGTGTAAGCTGAAAATTTATTTTTTCACAGTTATTTATATAATTATTAGAATATTGGTCTTCCTTGTCAGCATTACTTAATGAAAACGTCAAGAATCTGAACCTGCGAAAGGTCAATGAGATTGAACATACAACAGAACACCTAAAAATTACAGTTCTGGGGTAGGCCATTTCTGCATTTGATATTCAGACTATGAAAGTGTCATTGAGCTCTTCAGAGAAACCGAACCAGTAGAATATGTTGTACTCCCCCTTCTCCATTCAGATATTCTATATCCATTACCAGCTATAGTTCAGAAACATTGAAAAAGGGATAGGCATGGTGGCATATACCTGTTTTCTTAGGACTTTGGAGGCAGATGCACAACCACCACAAGTTCAAGGACAACTTGGATTAGTGAGTGCCAAGCGAGGAAGTGCTATAGTGTGAGATCCTATCTCAATAAACAACCAAATAAACCAAAATCTGAAAAACAATTCCAGAAGGTTCTAAAAAACAAGCATAAAGTTGCTGCACAACTTACGGTATGCTCCATGAGAGAGAAGTGATGTGTAGGCACACTCCCTGATTCATGGACCCTTAGTCTGTTTCTTTAGCATCTGTCTTTAGGATATGGTTCACCTTGATTTTTTTAATCCATGTGTAGTAATGTGTATAGTTATTTTTGTTGTCCTGCATATATGGACTTTTTTATTCTATAATTCTCTAAACAACACATTATAAAAAATCCATTGACTTAACATTTATCCTGTTCTAGGCATTATGAGAAATCTGGAATGTTTGAAAGTATATTGGAAGGCATGTATTAGTTACCTGCAAATAGTATGCCATTTTATGGAAGTGACTTGAGTGTCAGAAAATGTGCATATCTTGGGGATAATATATTGTTATCAGTTTTTAATATCTATGAGAAGTTGAAAGTGTGTTTGTGTGTGTGTGTGTGTGTGTGTGTGTGTATACTCATGAGAAGGAAAGAAGGGGGAAGAAAGAGAGAGAATAATGAATTGGCCCACATGATTATGAAGACTATCAAGTTCAAGATCTGAAAGATGAGTCAACAAGCTTCACACTCAGGAGAGCTGATGATTTAGGTCCAGTGTAGTTGGAGTTTTAGTTGGGACCACCAGCTCCAAAATAAATGTACAGACTTAATATTAATAATAAATGCTCAACTGATAGCTCAGACCTATTACTAACTAGCTCTTACCACTTAAATTAACCCATTTCTATTAATCTATGTTCTGCCATATGACTCATGGCTTTACCTGTCCTCCAGCATATCTTGCTGCCTCTGCATTTCTTCTTCCTAACATTCTCAGTATGGCTCTTCCACCTAACAATATCCTGTCCAGCTATTGGCCAGTCAACTTCTTTATTAACCCAATTACAGTGGCATATATTAACATAATGTAAAGGAATATTCCACAGTCCAGTCCGAAGATTAACAGGCTCAAGACTCAAGAAGAGCCAATGTTTCAGTTCTAGTTTTAAGACAATGAAAAAAAAGTTCAAGACACAGTTGTAAGACTATCTAACAGGAGTCATTCTTTGCTTGGCAGGCAGGTAAATGTTTTTGCCTTAGTTAGCCCTTCAACTAATTGATTGAAGCTCACTGCATTAAGGAGAGCAATCTACCTTTCTCATATTAAATTTAATATCAACTAAAATTTCCCACAGTATTTGCAGAACCTGGAACATTGTTTGATCAAATATGTGAATATTATTGATGTGATACACACCATGACCAAAAGCAGCTTGGGAAGGAAAGCGTTTGTTTTATGCTGCCACATCACTGTTCATCATTGAAGAAAGTAAGGGTAGGAACTCAAACAGGGCAGGAATCTGGAGGCAGAAGCTGATTCAGAGGCCATGAAGGGTGCTGCTTACTGGCTTTCTCCTTATGCCATGCTCAGTCTGCTTTCTAATAGGACCTAGGACCACCATCCCAGGGACCACCATCCACAGTGAGCTGGGCCCTCCCCCATCAATCTCCAATTAAGAAGATGCCCTACAATTGTATCTTATGGAGGCACTTTCTTTTTTTAAAAAAAAAAAAATTCAACATTTTTACTTTCCAAAGTGTATAATTATTTAAAAATCAGAAATATATTTTTTATATACTCACAATGAAAGCAATCAGATTGTCAACATAGTCAGTCTTCTGTGTCTGTGCCCCAGGTCTAAAAACTGGAAAAAAAAAGTCTCACAGATGTTCTTTTCTACTGTTCTGTTTGTCTTTTCATTTGTCATTGGTACTTACTGGAGTGGGATTGTTCAAAGTACCAATAGGACTGTAGCTATCATTTAGTAAGTGTTAACCATTTAGCACACGTCATTCCTAATCCTTAACAACCACCTGAGGCAGCTATCATTATTCCTAATGACTAATGATACAACAAGGCATTGGTTCACTGAGTACCAGTCAGTGCCTTTGCTGGTATATAGCAGAAGCAGAACTTTCTGAAAACTGACTTTATTGTTTCCTATTGGCTTTCCTATGGGAGACAATGAAGAATGTGCATGCCTTCCCATTCAACATTTATTTTTAAAGGCCCTTCCTCCCCGCCTTTGATTTTTTTTCCTATATTTTGAGGCTGAGTCTCATACTGTCTGGACTTATATGTTGGTGAACATACGGCTCAAGTCAACAGCTTCATAGTGCACTGACTTTTTATCATTTAATTATTGGCTCCAGAAGGATGTTACTGTCCTGTTTCTTTATACAGTCTGGAAGATTAATTACCTACCAGTTTCTATAACAGGAGGGCCTACTTGTTTGTCCTGGCCACCTGGCTATCTTAGCCCCGAAATAATCACACAGAAATTTATTAAAACACTGCTTGGCCCATTAGCTCTAGCTTCTTATTGGCTAACTCTTATATTAATTTAACCCATTTCTATTAATCTGTATATCGCCACATGGCAGGAGTCTTCTTCAACCACTCAGTGCATATTGATTGGGACAGTGTCTTCCAGCTGAATCCAAAGTTCATTGATTGGGATACAGCTAATCTGGTCGATCAACTTTTCCCCAAGATTCCTGTCTCTGCCTTGTGAGCTCGGGAATTACAGGCAGGCCACCATGCGCACCCTGCATTTATGTGGATTCAGGGAACTCAAACTCCCATCCTCAGGTTGAGCCATCTTTCCAGCTCCAGATTTGTTTCTAAATCAAAGTCTTCACACAATCTGAAATTTGATATATCCGTATACTAAGACTTACTCACCCAACTGGAATTTCTTTTAGCTAATGGTGAATGTTTTATTCTCTTAAACAAATGATGACCCCAAAATATATTATGTTTCACGTACTCTGATTTGTATGTTATATGTTGTCTTAGTTATTTTACTTCTTGCTATGGTGAAGGTATCCTGTTGAAGAAACTTCAGAAAGAGTGGGTTTATTTGGCTTACTGTTCAGAAGTCCAGCCCATTGTGGTGGGGGGAGTGCTGGAAGCAGGATCCTGTGCAAGCGGTCACATTGCTTCTGCAGCCAGGAAGCTGAGGATAACAAATGCTCCTGCTCAGCACACTTCCTCCTTTATGCATTTGGAATCTCAGCCTAGGGAATGGTGTCATTCACATTAAGGGCACTCTACCTCAGATAATCTCTCATCTAGGTAATTTCTCAAAAACATCCCCAAAGGCTTGGTTCTAGGTTATTAGAGATATTGTCAAGTTTATAATCAATGTTAAACATCATGTATGCTATACATAGAAAATGGTCATTAAAATATTCGTGGCTCTAAAATGAAAGGGAATACAACATAAAAGTTAGGAAAATCATTATAATAATGTTGTGGTACATTTTAAGAAAGGAAGTAGGAAGTCAGTGATTTTCTTGGTCTTGATCTTTAATGACAACTTGATCTCCCCTACAGATATGTTTTAAGATTGTTCAAGGTTATTCTGCTAGGTAATACTAGTGAGAATTAATTGCTAGGTATTATTACTGAGAATTGCTAATGGCATTTACTGATGTACATTCATTCTGCAAAGATGACAAGCTTCCTAGTCACCTGTATATTTTTAAATCATGGCTTAACAGATTGATACCTATTTCTTCATTTTTTGAAATAAATTAGTATGATATATAACAAACAAATTAGTTTAATATGTAACAAATGCTTGACTAGTGTGGTGGCCCTCATATAGACTCCTATGTTTAAATACTTGGTCCCCGGTTAGTGGGACTGCTTGAGTAAAGTTTGGTTGTATGGTTTTGTCGAAGGAAGTGAGTCACTGAAGTGGGTTTTTAGTTTCAAAAGCTCAGCTATTTCCAGTTAGTTCTCCTCTCCCTCCACCTCTTGGTTGTTGTCTCAACACATAAACTCTCAAGTACTTCTCTAGTACCATACCTGCCTGCCTGCTGCCATACTTCCCACCATGATAGGCACAGACTCACTCTCTGAAACCGTAAACAAGACCCACCCCTTAAATGTTTTCTTATGTAAGTTGCTTGATCATGGTGTCTCTTTGCAGCAATGAAAAGTAACTAAGACAGCTAATAAGTATTTTTCCATTTTTTTGAAAATGGAGTCTTTTCTCATACAATATATCCTGATTCACATACTCAGGACTTCCATAAAATACATTAAACTGAAAACCATAATATATTTGCAGAGACCTGGTGCAAACCTGTTCAGGCCCTGTGCGTGTTACTTCAGACTCTATGCATTCCTTTGAGCTTTGCTCAGTGATTTAGAGGGAGCTAACAAATTCTCAATGAAAGTTGGCCATAACGTAGTAGTAGAAATGGATTTAGAAGTAGTAGTAGAAATGGATTTAGAAGTAGTAGTGATCAATGTAGCATCGTTGTATAATTGTTTCCTTCATAAGGAACGTTGATTGGAGGCCCAGGGGTACAGGTGGTCAAGGGAGTAAATATTACTGACAGAGAGAGAAAAGAAAGATGTGACACAGAAGATAAGGTTAGGAGCAATTTGTTCACCTAAATGAATCAACTTTTGTTTCTCATTTCCTCATCATTCGTGTGGAAAATCCTGGTAACAAGGACCTGATTTTGCCTTTGGAGCAGGTGCAGAAATCTTCTTCAAACAGTGTGTGACCCAGATCAACCTGAGAAATAACAAGTGGGAAGTCTCCAAGGAGACAGGCTCCCCCGAGCAGTTTGACCTTGTTGTCCTCACCATGCCAGCTCCTCAGATTCTGGAACTTCAAGGTGACATCGTAAACTGTGAGTAAGCCTTGCTATTTACCTATTTGGGGAATGGATTGGCAGGGCGCAATTTTGCTCTTCTTTTTGAGAGAAAAATCTATGATCAATTCTACTGGTGTCATATTTTAAAAATGATTATGGTCTACTTCCTGATTAGTCTGGGTTGTAATGAAACTTACAGAATGGTTTTTAATTAGCTCGAAATTGAACGGTTCTCGTATTGCCCTTGTTTTAAAACAATTTAGTGTTATTTTGGATGTGCTGTAGTGTGGCCTGAAAGAGCAGCGTCAGTGTGGTCATCCTGAAGAAAAGCTGTTCATCTTGACATCATATTGGCATGCCTCATCTCCTATCTCCCTGCTCTCTGGGTTACTGCTAAGTATTTACTGCTGTTGGACGGAGTCCTTTTAGCCTCATTGATGAGTAGGTGGATATGATAGAGGATTCATTGTCCTGATGGAGCTAAGATTATGTCAAGAGAGCCAAATTTATTTTAAAAAATGATAAGGAATTTTCTTTATTTGAATAAAAGAAAGCATTTTCTCCCAAAAATTAACATATTTTAAAAAGGAATTTGGTGAGCCATCGATAAGCAGAATAACCCATCTTTGTAAGCAAGTCCAATATTATTCTTTTATATTCTATTTTCTTATGCAGAGGACTATTAAAATATTACAAAGGTTTTGTTGAAGAAAGCGAAAATTTATTGCAAACCCAGGGCATGTTGGTATATCTAGCTGGGTGGTCAGTTTTTATAAAAATCTATTTTATGTACCTGAGACATGACAAATGGGAAGTCTCCTCAGAAGACATCCTCTCCAAGGGTTTGAGCCTGTCCCTGTGGTACCAGTTCTTGTCGCTTCCAATGGAGGTTGACTGTGAAGGTAAAGATCTATTTTCATAGAACCCAGACAGTAAGGGGCAGTGGAAATACAGTCATTCCCAAACCATGCTAGGTGTGTTCAGAAACAGGGCCAAGAAACCAGCACGGACTGATTTGACTGAAATTTACTCAAGATGACTTTGAGCTGTGGACCCTCTCTCTGGGTCTTGCTACCATGATGGATTTTCCAGTGTGAGCCAGAGGAAACCCTGCTTCGCTAAGCTGATTTTGTCAGGTCTTTTGCCACAGCAAAACTAAAAGTGACTACTATGGTTGCTGTATGCAGATTTATGATTTTATCGGGAAAGGTGGTCACAAGTACTGGGATAAAGGCGTGTGCAAGCACCACCCAGGTCACTGGTATGTTATTTCTGATTATAGTGTTATTCATTTCTTTTTTACAAATTGCTGAAAAGTCTTTAATAGCCAAGTCTTTCATTTTTTTCTTTTGAAACAGCATTTAAGTGTTGCAGTTGGTTTAGTGTTATTGACTTTAGATAGCTACCTTTGTTTTATTTGTTTTTAATATAAAATATTATATGGCTAGAATATGTGTGATGGAATCTGATTTTCTGTGCCTTCCTCGAACTCTTATATAAAAATGTACGATTGAGGAACATGCTTGAAACAACCTTCGTGGGTGGGTAGAGAAAGTTGGATACCGAAGATTTGGTTGGGTACATTTAGTGGTGGGACTTACCCATTTGCAAAGTCACATATTGCCATCTAGTGGCACATTTGCAGTTCCCCAGTTTAGGCTAGAAAATACCTAGGTAAACACTGTAACTATAATATAAACCATACCTCATGAGGAAATTAATATGGTCCCAAGATAATGCATTAACTATGCACCTGAATCTGCAGAGTTTGTACAGACGTTAGGGTATGCTACCAGTCCCTAATGATATCCACTGTGAACAGCATGCTGACTGCTTTCTGATTTTCTATTCATTCTCTCTCTAAGTCATGTCTAGGCTGTGAAATCAACATAACACCATATTTTACCTGAATTTTTTTGACTATTGTTCGGTGTATTATGGGTTATCTTTACTTGTGTATTTATCTCCTTTTCTACTTTGCCTTTTATAGATGAAACAGGACTACTTCCTTTCTTCTGACAATTCATAATTATTCTTTTTCTCAGCTGAAAAAATAGGGATGCTTCAAGGGCCTTATGATTAACCTCTCAAGATTTACTACTCTATAATTGTGTTACTTTTGCCATGTTACTATCACCAAGATTGTTTCCATCCTCAAAGCAACCCTACGTGTTATTATCCTCTCCATTCTTACTAGGAAGACTGAATTTTGAATCTCCAGCCTTGTGGCCAGAGGCCAGTAGCAATGGAGTGCTGGAAGCACCCACTCCAACTGTGATGATGATGCTCCCTGCCAGTGCAGCCAGGAGATTTTTGTTATTGCCTTTGTTTTATTTTTATGAAATTGGATGCCCTAATGAATATGTTAATGTCCATATATATGTCCATATGTATATATATATATGTCCATATATATATATATATATATATATACATCTAAAACTGATATATCCTCATGAGGGACTATCCCCATAATCAATATGAAACTTGGATTTGAAGTATAATTTGCCAAATATTAGTATAAGCATACTTGTCTCTTTTTTTAGTTCTATTTTCTTGTTTTTTTTTTTTTTAGTTTTATTTGTCAATTTCCATTCTTTTTTCATAGGTACATTTCTTGCAGGCAATTAATATGGGGTCTTGGTTTTAATTTAATATACTAATCTGTCATTTTTAATTAGAGACTTGAACTCATTAACATTCAGAGTTATTATTTGAATAGTATGTAGTCATCTGGGTTGGAAATTGCTGTCTTATGGAGTTTAAAATGACTCATTCCATCTCCTCCTTCTGTTTCTAAATCTGCTGTTGTTCTGATGGTTTTGTCTTGTGTGTGACTCTATCTTTGTTCTAACTATAATGTGATGTATGTGTGTAAAGCTACATATACATATACATATGTATATATATATATATATATGTATATTTCTAACTATAATGCCATATGTGTATATATAGTTCTTTTCTGGTCTTTTGTTGTTGATGTTCCAAATGGCTCATTTCTAGGTAGACATTTCTTTCTTTAGATAAAGGGAGCTTTCTGCTATAGTTTTATTGATTATGTTTTCTTGGCCTTTACTTTGTGCTTCTCCTTTGCTCAGTTATAAATTTGGTCTTTGTCTTAGTTGACCAAGGCAGCTTATAAAGAATATTTTCAATTGAGATTAGAGTTTCACAATGATAGGCTCTATGACAGAAGAGCAAAGATGTAAGGAACAGCTGGTAACTCACATCTTAATCTGCAGGTAGGAGGCAGAGAGAAAGTGAAGAGAAAAAGACCAAGAGGGTAGGGAGATAAGGAGAGAGGGAAAAAACACTAGGAATGGCATGAGTCTTTGGACATCCAAACTCTCCCCAATGATACTCCTCCTTCTATAAGAAAATACCGCCTAGTCCTTCTTTAAAAGTTCCACCAGCTAGGGATCAAGTATTTACATATGAGATTACAGGGGACATTTTCATTCAAATGATCAAATCCCACTCCCTGACTCCTGCAAGTTGTGGTTATATCCTAGTAAAATGCGTTTAGTCAAACTTCAAAAGTCCCTGTAGTCGTTCAGTCTCAACACTGTTTAAAAGTTCAAAGTTCTAAGTCTTTTTTGAAACTCAAGAAATCACTCTAGTGTAATCTACTATAAAATATGAAAGTCCATTACATATTTCCAACATATAATGCCAACATACAATACATTACGAAAAGACATGGGAAATACTTGAACAAAGCAAGATCAAAACACAGCAGGGAAAATTCCAATTCCTTATAGCTCTACTGTTCAGTTTTCCTGCCTACAAGATCATTCTCTCTTGGACTGAGTACATCGCTGTCTGTAGCACTTCTTGCCATAAATCCATGACTTTGGCATTTGCAACCTTTTGACATCTCCAATGCATTCCGGGTTTCACTTTCACAGCTTCACGCAGATGCCTCCAAGGGCCTCCATGTGGAGACTACCCTGATACTCCCCTGACCTCAGTAACTATGGAGGAAGATTCCACAACCCCTCTTTATTAGTGCTTCCTCAAGCCAGCATCACGTGGATGACACTGCCAGGTTTAGCTGTCAATTTGTGATGAACCCTGCCCTCCTTGATCACATTTGCAACAGTTTTGGATTGTGGTTGATTTTTAGGAGCAGAAAATCCCTTGGGCCTTTTCCTATTGCAGGCTGAAGCTTAGCTGAATGGGGTCTTGCTCTGAGGGGACACTTTCTTTATTTCAGTATCAGACCTCCCCTTAATCTCTTTATCTTTTTCAACACAAGCTTCAGCTCTAAAATTATATTTCCTGGTTCTCTTTTATGCTTCAGACTATACACTTTTATTTCTTATACCCACATGAGAATGATTACTAATAACCACATCTCAGGGTTGATATAAGTTTGTCTTTAAATATTTTTCCATAAAATAATTAGCTCATTACATTTTGGGTTAGTCTTGAACAAATCATTAGGGTAAGGAAAAAAAAAAAACAGCCACAGTTTGGGCCAAAATATAATGAGAATAATCTCTAGCCAGGTTACTAATACTGATCCCATCCTAAACCTCTTCAGCTGGGCTTCCAATCCATGTTGCTTTAAGCACTGCTGTCTTTTATGATTCTACTAGGATGGTCCATTAAGCTTAACTGTTTTTCTAGCCCCAAATCCTAAAATCTTCCACATTCCTCCAAAATGCCACATGATCAGGTCTGTCGTAGCCATAGCCCACACTCTAGTACCAACTTATGTCTTATTTATTTTTGTTTTGCTGTTACAAACCGCCAATGCCAAGACAACTAAATTTGGCTTAGAATTTTGGAGTGTTAGTATCTCTGATGGCAAAGCAAAGGCATAGTGGAAGAAACAGCTGAGAGCTCATGTCTTGATCTGCGAGTAGGAGATAGGGAGAAAGCATGCTGGAAATGATGTGAGTCTTTTGGAACATCAAAGCCCAGCCCCATTGCACACCTCCTTCAACAAGAACAACCTCCTAATCCCTTTCTAACAGTCCCACTGACCAGGAATCAAGAGTTCCAACTGTGAGCCCATGGGTAGGGTT